GTCAGATAGTGTAAGATATGACAAAATAATAATAATTTATAGATTATCAAGGGTTCATGAGGGAAGGGGGAGCGGGGAGGGAGGGGAAAAATGAGCTGATACCAAGGGCTCAAATCTCCTTGAGAGTTGTGTTAGGACGGGGTCTCTGGAGAAGCAAAACCAGTGAGGCTGCTAGGTCACCTCTCAAGAAGGACATTCATATCAAGCCCCTGGCTCACACACCGCACAACAGGTAAGTCCTGTCTGGTTCACGTCCGCGGGTCAGATGTTAGAATGGAGGCTTTTCCCGACTCACCACGTAACTGCTGAGGTGCAAGAGCCGGAAAGCAGGAAAGCCACAGGCCGGTGGAGGCAGGCACGGATGAATCCAGGGTCACAAGGCCAGGCACGTGGCTGCGGGAGAATGAATTCAGGGATGTCAGGCTAGCTCCCACACAGCATCAGCATCTAGGGGAGCAGGCCACACCCCTGATGAAATGACCTTCCCATTGCACCAGGGCTGGGACCTGATCAGGGGTTGCTCTCCACCCTAATCTTCCCGAAGCTGCTTGGCTGCTCACAGCTGATTCTGTCCCGGAGTTGATAAACCACATGATGCTAGATCACATCATGGGGGTGTGGGGTGGGGTGTATGCTCAACTACCAAACTACTGAGAATCCTGGCCCAGCTGAGCTATAACAGGGTCTTTGTATTCGCCGACACCTCGCTTTACCAAGCATGTTGTTCTTTTCCCCATTGGTGCCATATGCTGATCATTAGTGGATGGCTACAGCTGTTTATTCTCATCTTCAGTCCTCCACCAGCAAACGAGGTCCTGAAAGCTTTCTCCCATCTGTGAATGCCCACCAAGCTAAAGGGCCTCATCTTCTGGCAGTATAGCTGGCAGGGTCCCCTACTATTGATGTGGGGTTTTTTAAGTAGCTAATCCCTCAGATGTGGGCCGCCTACTCTTCCTTACTAATCTAAAAGTAACTCTGGTGGAGTCGTGGGCTATGCATTGGGCTGCTCACGACAAGGTCAGTGGTTCAACCCCACCCGGCGCACTCTGCAAGAGAAAGACGAATCTCTCTTTTCTGTTCCTATAAAGATGTACAGCCTCAAATTGTAGAACGGTATCATTAATAGCACAGGCAAGTGAAATGTTGCTGAAGATGATCCAACCACGGTTGCTGCAGTACACTCACAGGGAACTGCCAGAGGTCCGAGCCGATTCAGAAGAGAAGCCGGAACAGGGAATGTCCTGGCTGATGTCGATGTCAGAAGGATCTCGGCTGAAAGCTAAGACCACTAGAAAGATGTTTACTTGTCGTTTATTGACTAGGCCAAGGAATTCAACTGTGTGGACCATACCAAATTATGAATAACCTGGAAAAGAATGTGAATCCCAATGCAGTACTGTGCTCATGCGGAACCTATACATGGATCAAGAGGCTGTTGTCTGAACAGAACAAGGACATACTGCAGGGTTTAAAATCAGGGAAGGTGTGCGACAGGGCTGCCTCCTCTCAACATACTTATTTAACCTGTATGTTGAGCAAATCCCCAAAGAAGCTGGATTGCATGAAGAAAAATGTGGCACCGGAATTAGAGGGAGGCTTATTAAAAACCTGCTGTATGCAGACACAGCCGCGCTCACTGAAAGTGAGGACCTACGGCACTTGCTGAAGAAGACCAAGGACCGTAGCCTTCAGTCTGGATGACAGCTCAATGTCGAGGAGGCCCCAGTCCTCACAACT